AATATTTTGTTTGACAAAATATTTAATTATTATAGTATATTGACGTAATATTTTTATTCTTATGCAATAAGAAATCTAAAATAACTTCAAGTAGCAGCATGTACTCTATGATTTTTTGGCTTTGAGCCGAAGACCAGTTGGTAGACAAAGTGATAAAAAACTACTATGCAGCGGCTGCCAATTTTTTTGTCAGTGCCGTTTCAGCATCCGCCGAACGGAGTCATGAATTCTAAACATTACAACAGCAGCAGCAGCAAAGGCCAACAGCAACAACAATGTCGCCGGCCGAGCGACTGCAGAAGCTTTTCTTTTTTGTAAGTTTGGCTCGTATTTTTTTCTTTTTCTTTCGTTCTGTTGAGCAGCGGAAATTATTATTAATTGCTTGGAATGTGAGGCCCACAAGCTGCCCCACCTCCCTCAATCGAGCTCCAGGTGCTCAAGTCCATTCTAATGGCTTCCGTTGGCGTGGCAGCTTCTGTTATGTTTGTCTAATCATTTCTGATGACGTCAAAAGCGGTTTATTCATGGCCAAAACGTGGCGAGTTCTTGGCCTCAAAAACAAAACTCAAATACCGAACGTAAATGTATGCAAGGCGTAGATATTGCGTGGATTTCGTAGATTAATGTGGAGCAGCTCTTTAGTTCAATGGCCTTGGCCACGTTGAGGAAGACATCTGACAGGCCAAGCGAGCCCCAAAGCTCCCAATCGCCCAGCAGACAGCGTGGGTAAGAACTGTAGCCATACAGCTAAGAAAGAAAACGTGGCCAAGCGTGGCCAAACATAATGGCTAGCCTCCACACAGCTCTGCTCTGCTCTGCTCTGCTCTGCTCTGCTCGACCCGACTCCACTGCACTCCGCACCAATGCAATGCAATTGCAATTGCAGTTTGCAGTTTGGCTGGAGCCAGGGGAAATTTAGTCGAACGGCAACTCCAACGCTTCAGCGTTTCATATGACTGACTGACGGCTAGCCAGGCGGAAGCAGCAGTTGCTGCTAGAGCTGAAAGTGGAGCTGAAGTGGGATTGGGATTGGGAGTGGGATTGGAGCTGCAACAGACTGCGGCAGCCACAGTTCAAGTCAAGGTGCAGCCGTTGAAACGTGCCAGCTGTTTGCACTCCTCCTCCACCTGGCTCCTCCTCCTCCTCCTCCTCCTGCACCCTAAATCAAAGCAGAAGTCTCTTTGAGATTTACAATCGGAAGACGGCGGTCGGAGGTCGGAGGAGCTGTTGCTATTGTATTACCCAATGCACAAGGGGTGAACGGACTGACATTTGCGTAATTGTGTTTGAATGCCGGAACGAACCTTTCTTTATGCGCCACCATTCAAATCGTAATGCAATAACATTTGCAACAAATTGATTGGAATTGGCAAATCAAAGTGGCTTAAATAGCGTGACCAAATAATGGAACTAAATTGTTGCCAATATTAATACAAATTACATTATATTTGCTATTTATATTTGTACTCATATGTCATGCATATATTACCTCATATGATAGTTGAATATTTTTCGATTTTAATAACTATTTGCTTAATTATATTCATATCAAACATATAGATAAATAAACACTTATAATTTACAAGTTGATTTACTCAATACTCACGTTTCAGTAAAGACTATTTTGATATAAGAAATATTACATATGAAGAATATACAATTTCCATAACTTTCTTTCTCTTTTCCTTCTATTCACCCCTCCTCCCTCTATATTCTCTTTCTATCATTATGAATTACTCATAGTTCTCGTATTACATACTTATCATACGCATATTTATTTCTCATACTTATCATATAAATGCTTATTTATTACCCATTCTCCAGTTATATGATATATTTAGAGACATTATCTAAACTCCATACATATTTCTATAAACACGCTATCCCCAATTTCAAAACAAAAACACATAAATATATTACAGTTGGCTGCAACTGCGTGCCAAACAAATAAATTAAGACATTGTTTTTCTTCTCAGCTCCCACGCTTCAAGAGGCGTGTACATAAAGTATAAATATAACAGCAGCCCACTTGCCAAATATTTTGAGCCATCTTTAAAGCAGTTTAAGCAGCATAATATTCGCAAATTTATATTAAATATAACATATCATATCATCATATCATATCATATCATCTGGCATAGATATCTAAAATATTAAGGTATTAAAAAATATTCGATTCTCCCCAAACAGGCTCAGCTATATTATAGCAAAAACAATATACTCTCTCTCTCTCTCACTCTCCCTCTCTCTCTCTCTCTCTTTATTTAATCTTGAATGCGTATAAAACCACATATTACTCACACGTCTGAAAGATATCTAGCTTTTGTATATACAATTAATCATATTGTGGGAGTAAAGTAGTTTATTTGACCAAAAATGTTGTTTATTCTTGTTAAATGCAAATTCAACAAAAAGCAAAATGTTGTTATGGATCCAATTACTATATATATAAGGCACAGCTGGCACAATAAAGTAAATACATATAATAAACGACCAGTCGAGCATGCTCGACTGCGATATACCCTGGCCTCTGCAGGGAGCTGCTTATGCAAAGAGTCTACGCTTCTATTAGACATAAATAATTAAATTAAATTAAATTAAAGCTGACTAGACTTATACTATATATGTATATATACCTTATACATACTATACTATTAATATAAGATTAGATACATTCCCATAATAACCTTAATTCTCAATTTTAATTTTTGTCTCAGCACTTATTTCATGCATATTTAATTTGTATATATTTCCTATACTTATTAGATGTATATGCCCAGGCATTATACAATATTAATCTATATTAATATAGATTCATCATCATGTAAATAACACGTAAGGTTTTTTGGCAACTCGAGTTGCTCAAGCTGAGATCTAAATTCTTAGCTCTTCAGCTATTATATTCACTGTCTGCAATATGAAGTCTGCTTAGAACTTTCGACCTTATCGATCATGTTGGCTCGAGTATCTTAACTTGTGCTGCGTTTATCTGCGATTTGTTTGTTTGTCTGTTTGCTGCTGTTTTTGTTCGTTTGTTTATTTTGACACGTTCGTTGCGTTGGCGACTTTTATAAATTGCTTGTTTTTTTTCTCTTTCTCTCTCTCTCTCTTGTATTTCCGTATATTTATGCCCAGCGTCGCCTCGACTTGCCCCCATTTATGATGCTGTCTATGTACATTTAGGGAGTATTTTTAGGCACTTGGCTGCTGCTGATCTGTTTGTAATTTGTTTATGGCAACTGTTGGCTCGATTAGGCGCGCGCGTTGACAGCCTCACAGCTGATGAACTCTTTTTGAAGCAGCGACAACAAGGCAGACGACATGCAACATGTGTGGCGGCAACAGCTATTTGTATTATTATCTATATATTTCATTTCTTTTTTTGTTTATGCCGCGTGGCAAGACACACAGCATGCGGCGACAACACCAGCAACAACTACAACAACAACAACAACAGCAGCAGCAGCAACTGGAAAACTGTCTGCTCTAATGATTTTGACCCTGAACGAATTTGAAGTGGTTGCGGCTGCAACGTCTGCCACTGCCACTGCCACTGCCACTGCTCTCAACTATAAACATGTCAGTTCCCCAGTCTGGACCGCAACAAAAACATTCACAAATCTCAACTATTTTTAAACACTCTACAAATGAAACTAGGTAAGCCAAACTCGAGTAAATAAAAAACAGTAAACATTAACAATAATATATGCAGCAGAGGATCAGCATTCAGAGATCAGTATAGACCTACGGTAACAACTAAATCTAAATATATTTAATATAATATTTTACTTTTAATCAAACAAAAATTGTAGAAGTAAATATTATTCATAATAAAATTATATATTA